CTCACTCATCTTTCAATATATTTACTCATCCACCACTCGTCTCTTCAAATAATTGGGCGACTTTTGTGACAATTTTTCTACAACTTCCGACCACCAAGAATGTCGAATTTAGATACCGTTGGAAAGCCCACGATGTCCTCTTCAATTACAACCCAAAATCTCCTTATAACTTCAAGGGATTCGATCGAAAAATTGCCTTAAAAGTCGTCCAAAAATTCTGAAAATTTGTCCAGATTTTCAAATTTTTTGGACGATTTTTAAGGCAACTTTTCGATAACTTTCAACCATCAAAATTGTCGAATTTTGATACCGTTAAAAAGTCCACAATGTCCTCTTCAATTATCACTCAAAATTTCCCCGTAACTCCAAAAAGTTCGATCGGAATAAACCCACAAAGCCAGCATCCTGAAAAGGCGAAAATTTGGACAGAGTTCGGGATGCTAACTTTGTGGGTTTATTTCGACCGAATCTTTTGGAGTTATGGGGAAATTTCGGATGGTAATTGAAGAGGACATTGTGGGCTTTCTAGCGGTATCAAAATCTGACAGTTTTAATTGTCGAAAGTTGCTGAAAAATTTCCTTAAAAGTCGCCCAAAAATTTTAAAAATCTGGACAGATTTTCAGAATTTTTGGGCAAATTTTAAGGCAATTTTCTGATCGAATCCTTCGAAATTATATGGATATTTTGAGTGATTATTGAAGAGGACATCGTGGACTTTTTAACAGTATCAAAATTCAACATTCTTGATGATCGAAAGTTGTTGAAAAGTTACCGCAAAAATCGCCCAATTATTTGAAGAGACGAGTGGTGGATGAGTGTAACTATATGAAAAGATGAGTAAGCATTCAATAACCTGTAAAAGATGAATGAACAAGTAGTAATCAAGTGTAAAGTCCAATGAACATTGGTTAAATTTATTCGAACCCTTGCTTATTGTCAAAAGACACCTCTCTCTCTCTTCTTTTTTTTTTGTTTTTGTTTTTTTTTTAAAATACTGCTTCACCTAACAATCTCCTAGCAACATACAAAAAGAAAAAAAAGGCGGACTGCCTGACTGACTTCCCCTTTTTTTCCTTTTTTCCCTTTCTTTCTAAAGTAAAAAATGAATAAGAACCCTTGCTTATTGTCAAAAGACTTCTCTTTTCCTTTTTTTTCTTTTTTTCTTTTTTTCTTTTTTTTAAATGCTGCTTCACCTAACAATCTGCTAGCAACATACAAAAAGAAAAAAGAAAAAAAAGAAAAAGGAAATTTTATTTTCAACTTTCACGCCAACAACATCATTATTCCAAAATTTATTTACTTGAAAGTAAACTTTTAGGCTTAACCAAACATTATAATTGGGCTTCTGAAGTAGAACCTGGTTTCCATAAGCATCACCAAACGCAAGACTGATGTGGTCTCGAGTATACCGGATTGAAGAGCAACTTGTCCTTATGCTCACCGTAAATGAACAGCTTCTTCGATTCTAACATACAACAACCAAAAATAATTGAAATGTAAACTGACTTACTAAAATGTGCTAATAATCAAACAATTTGACGTCCATATAACTGAATAATTACCTCGGTCGTGTTGATTTTGAAAGATGGGCGAATCTGCGGCCGAGGGAAAATTGGTCGTGCTTGTGAAAAAGGGATTATTATGAGAGTAAAAAGTAGAGTAAAGAACAAAGCTCTCATCATCTTCATTGAGTAAATTCAAAACCTGATTATTTGGATGAGATACTCAGAGAATGAAGATGAAGAGGGTATTGTTGGGCGTTGTAAGATTATTACTAGTACATTTTTGGATTTTTGTTGAGAAAAGGGGACACCTGTATTACTTTCGGCCGTAGAAAATAGAATTTACAGAGTTAATTGTTACCATGGTCACTTAACTTAAGTTTATATCTTTAATTGGTCACTAAAGTTTAAAATATTAAATTTTGGTCACTGAATTTAGGTTCATTTTTCGATTGCTTACTGAAGTTTAAACTATCGAATTTTAACTACTGAATTTTGAAAAATGTTGTACATTACTCACTGCAAAAATTTTATTAAGCATTTAAAGATATGGACTTAAGTTGAGTGACCGAAACTCAACATTTTAAACTTTAACGACAATAAAAAATATGAATTTAAATTCAATGACCACAAGAACAATTAATTCTAATTTACATTTACATCCAAAACCTTCTTAATATTTGTCAAACGGGTCCTTCCTTAACAAGTACTTTGTAGTTTATAGTACCCTATAGTTTTGTATGGACTCGTTTACCATCAAATTTACTTATTACTTATAAGTAAATATTTTAAGTTTAGCCAAGCTTTTCAAGCGTTTGTTTATAATGTAGACTTGTCATTTCGATTTCTCCACAATAATAGAAAATTTTGAAAATGATGTTCACGTTCACAAGATTCATGTGTGATTTTTCAAAGTGCTATGACAATTGAAGTAGCATATCATTGAATTTTGGCTCCAATTTTATCCATAATGACTATTTGTTTTGTGTTTGAAATAATAAGCCCCCATTTGACCATCATTATTTGATATTGTAATTTTTGGAATAGTATTTTTTTGAAAAATGAGTGATTAAAAAGAACAAAAAGTCTTTTATTGATGTGTAATATTATTTTATTGAAAAATGTATAATTAAAAAGAAAATGGAGAAAAATGTATTACAAATTTAGCTCCCGTTTGACCCCTATTTTGGTGAAATGAAAATGAGTGGAATAGTATTTTTTTTTAAAAAAATGAATGGTTGAAAAAGAATGAATTTTTTTTATTTACGTGTAACATTATTTTATGGAAGATTGTGTAGTTGAAAATAGGAGAGAAAAAAATGAAATGTAATAGAATTAAAAGTAATAGGGGCTAATTGGGGCATAAACGTGGCTAAATCCCAATGAAATATGCAAGTACTTTTTTGGATTCCATTATCAGCATAGGCCTCTAATTAAGACGGTGTACTTTTATTGCAATAAAAAAAAAAAAACTTCACGTGTATGTCGTGTTAATAAAAAAATAAAATGTCCAAAATAGTCCTTGTATTACTCAAACTCTGTAAATGGATACCTGTCTCCATCGTTTTTCATCTTCTCGAAGGAATACAACTAATCCAGGGATAAAAGCGTAAATGTACATCGTTTATACCCAACTTTGAATACCGCTGGGTAGAAAGGAGTGTACAATATAAAACAACAATTAAAAGAAAAACAAAAAAAATTGTTTACAATATCACGTCGTAGAATACTCTACATCAAATATACATGTAATGCATACAAACATGTAGCAATTTTTTAACTAAGAACCTTGAAATAAGCTACTAAGGTTGACCATCTAATCAAATGAGCTTTAAATTTTCACTACTTACATCAACCAAAAATAGAAAACCTTGATACATTGGTTGATCCTAGGTCCTAGAGGTAGCAACAACAATGTGAGGAGTACATGATCTAGATAGTATTTGAACCTTAAACAAGTTCGTACCTAAAAGTGTGAACACAAACACTTTTACAAGTTGGTACCGTGAACTAGACAATATTAATGAAAAAAGCTAAAATCTTATTTATATACTGCAACACAAACTTTTTATCTTGTGTTTATTTAGTTTTGGCTAATTTTCTAAAAGTTATTTATCTGGTTAAAAACTTTCTAAGTTAGGTGGCTTCCTCACAAAGAATAGAAGCAGAAGCTATCCCAAACAAGCCTTTAAGTCAAAGTAATCATAGAAGTACTTTACAACCAGAACTGGAAATAAGAAAGCGCAATAACTATAAATGAACTAAAACATTAGTTGGGAGTTAACATTAGTAACATCAAGAAACACCTGCATAACAGCACTTCAGTCTCTAATGTTCTACGCCTTTCTACTTTTGTAAACTCAAAGAAGCGAGATGCTTGAGAAATGTTCAGAATTCAGTAGGATTTTTCAAGCGTACAAGCCTTTTAATTCTATCTTTGTCCGTGTTCTCCAATAAACCCT